GTAATTACAGAGTTCCCATTCAAACAATTTCTTTGAGCATCAAGGCTACTTAAGCATTTTGTGCATCAGTTTACTTATGTGGAAAGCATGTCTCAGAGAGAAATTTTAAAGCCTAAACCTCACCAGCATATTAGAATAGTTAAGTCTTTAAAAATCTGACTTCTGAGAATTATATTAGATAAAGTGGTACCAGATACCATAATACCAAAATATCAGAACTACTTTTTCTTGCAGACTGTCCTATAAAAATATTCCACTTCTTGCTATTCCCTGGAAAAATAAAGTTAATATACAAGAATTTTGGAAAGTAGGCTATGTTCGTGTTTATTATAATCATCTTTCTTCTCAGGCTGATAACTCTAAACTTTTGCAAATCTTTTTTGCAAATTCAATTTCTTAAATTTTATTAATTTAATAGATAAGAACTCAACTACATAATCAAATTTACTCCTTTGCACGACCGTTGTTTAAAAAAAAGAGAGAGAGAAAAGCCATGCAACTTGCTACAGTGTTCAATGTTTATTTTTCAAGTGTTGCCCAGGAATGTCAGCACTACTGGGATTACGCTGAAAGGTTATTCAAGATAGGTTACCACACTGACCTTTATTTATGACTGAAGAAAATAAGTCAGTGAGAGTATGTGTTATTCAGATTTTCATTTCTTCTTTGTTTTCACTGCACATTTGTGACCTGTCCATAAGAAATTTCTTGAGAAAATGATGGTTTTATAATAAGAACTAATTAACTGTTGAACTAATTCTAGCATATGGTGCAGCAGAACTTCCCCAAAACTGGCTTGAATTGAATGGTGCCATCTGTCTGCATTGAGTTCAGATAACAATCTGTCTGATTTTGTTGTTTTAACCCCTTCTATAATGAAAAAGAATGTGGCATGGTTTGCTAAGGAAAAGTAACCTCCCAGATTACTACTGGACCTTCAGTTTTTGTGCAGTCAGGTGTCTTGGGAATTGTAAACAGTCATTAGGCTTAAATTTGGCTTTACTAGTAAAACCAAAATTTACAGACATCTCTTGATCTCATCCTTGAAACTGGAATTCTGGTAGATATTACAATTAAGTTAAAAAACAAACAAACAAACATACAAAAAAAAACGTAGATTGCTTTGTGCTTTGGAACATTGCCTGAGATGTAAATAATTTTTAATTTTATGTTCTTTATTTTAAGTACGTTATCACTGATTTTAGTGGTACTTAATTTTGGAGAGGAATATAATAATTAAAAGTAAAGAATACACCAAATGTTTCCCTGTCAGCAGACAAAATACGTAGAACAGCTTTTAATTTCCTT